TCTCTCTCTCTCTCTCTATTGCATTTATGTTCTCCGTACGCACGGCGCGTACGCGCGTTGGCGAGGTCACACGTGCGTATCGTATCTATCGGCCTTGCCGCGCGCCGCTCTTAATCGGTGCGATGCTCATTGTGCTCGTAACACGACACAATGCGATAACGATGCGAGATAGCGTGGGAGTTTTCGGAGCATCCCGCGCCCGCATCGAGATAATCGGCGAGAATCGATCAGGGCTGTAGCACAGCCTGTTGTGAGGAGAACGAAGAAGAATCGAGCTCACTTCCAAGCTTCCCTCTCCCTCCCCCTCCTTCCGCCGAGGACTCCCGAGGGAACCTGTGATTTTTCTTCCCTTTTTTTGCACTGAAATCGCAAGATTTTCCTCTCGTGGTGAACCGTAAAGAACAATCGAAAACGCGAAAACGTACTCTCGACGCGATAGTCGAGTGTCTCTATCGATCGAAAGATTCCTCACCTTCTTTATCACAAAAAGAGAGATTTTGATGAAATTCTGAAGATTTAGATTGGATATAAATTGGAAAATAATTGTTAAACCATCGATATAATTATATGAAATGTTTAATGATAATACTGTATAAATTTTTAATATTCTCAGCAATTTGAACTTTCGGAAGAAACAACTTTGCTGAAATGTCTAAGGATTTGATCACAGATATAAATTGAAAAATATTTCTGTTGAGTCAAATAATGGGTGAAATAATTATATAAGATCTTCAGATTAATTGCTACAGCATGAAAATGTGTGTAGTAATCCAAGCAAAAAATCATGATGTTAAAGTGATGCCAAAATGTGATTACCAAAAAGTCATCATTTTAATATCGGAAAGAGTTTTGCTGAAGAATTTAAATATTTTGGTCAGATACAGATCTAGATATAATTTCGTCAGACCAAAATTAGGACGTTTAAATTGGTTGCTAGAATATAAAAAAAACGGTGCGGTGTTACCACGCTTAAAATGTTCTACAGAATAATTTTGAACGCCCGAAAGAAAATTATTTTCAGATCTGTATCTGGCCAAATTCTTACGCGCTTTAGCAGAAGCATTCTCTTAGTGTGTAGGACCTGCTCGTAATTCTCCAGAGGTGCGAATCGTCCGAGACTTGTTTCTCGGTCTCTCTGATAAAGGCGCCACCGATCACCTCGGGGGCTCCTAGCGAACCGTAAACCGGTCCTGGATGCGCTTCGTTGGTGCTCGAAAACACCTGACGAAACGTCCGCAGCGATGCTACGATGCAATCTGATAAATACACCAGGTGGGAAAGGGACGGAGGAGAAAAGGAGGCGAAGAGAGAGAGAGAGAGAGAGAGGCAGGGCATACGGCGTATATTCGGAATGCACGCGCGACCGGACACGCGAGGAGGATCGTCTTTGTGCGGACGAATGGATCGAACAAACTGGGCGCGAATCATCTTCGCGGAAGGTGCATCTTAATCTCGCGTTTTATCGCTGCATTTCGAAGTGATCTAAGCGAGGATCTAAGGAGGATCCAAGGCGAATCTCTCCCGCTCCTGAAACCTCTCCCGGCAGGGCGATGCTTCCGAGGACGGTCGAGGAAAATCGTCTATCGGGGTGAGAATCGCGGGGCCCGACGGGGCCCCGAAGTCGGGGTCCGCGATAGAGGGCCCACGACCTGGCACGGCGGCGATCTCGCGTGAGCGCGGTCGAGTTCTTTGTGATCAGGGCTCGAAACCGGTTTCATTGGCGGAAGGACTCTCTCGCGCCCCGTCGTCCCCCCCGTGGCCCTCCTCGTACGCCGCAGAGCATACACCGAATATGAATCGCCCCGCGCGTTTCAATAGACCGAGTGCCCTAGCGTGTGCACGCGTAAAACTGGTTATCGCCGATCGCGTATGTAATCGAACATGCGGACGACACGCGTGCGACGGCTGCGTATCGATAAACGCGTGCGTGCAGATGCGACGAGCGGCGTGTCAACCCCCTCGGTCTCTCCCTCTCTCGCCCCCTCCTAACTTTTTTTCTTTCCACGTAGGATTACGTAAGCGGAGCGGTCGTTCCGGTGTCCCGTCATGAAGTTGCGCGCGAACGGATACATGGAATAAGTCATCATTAATACCCGCGAGTCAATTATGCGTACGCGTAACAAAATTGAGGAAACGGAGAGGGGCTTTTATCGACGATCGCCGCGATCACCCAATAGGCACAGCGTGTGCTTATCAGTATTTTATTACAAAACTGCAGTCATTGCACATATACAATTCATTCTTACGCATTAATTTCGTGCGCTTACACGACGTTACACACTCATTAACGTTATATAGAAATATTACAAACAGGTACAAAAACTACGCTACTACTTTTAATCGCTATCTTATGCTACGAGATCCTCGCTCGCTCATTCACACATTCATACACATTTTTCTCTCTTTCTCTCTTATTCGCAATCACTTATTTGTTTATCGATTATCTAAATGCCTCGTAAGCGTTAGAGCTGGGTCTTGCTCGCGTGGAATGAAATTACGTTCGAACGCAGCGAACGATATATAAATATAATGTACAAATACAGCGCCATAATCGGACGAAATATCGATAATGAAATCCTTTAACTCTATAAATTCACTCGATTGAATTCGTATTGATTCTTTTTGAAATATATAGAAATAAATATCTGATACATATCAAAAGAATAAGTTAGATTTTATTATCGAAGTCATCCATATTCTAGTAGTCGAATTTTTCTCCGCTTAAATTTGGAATCTTGCAATTGTCTATTGCAAAAATATTTGACGATTAAAATTAGAATAAATTAGAAATTCCCTACCGTTAATTAGCAATATCAGTCGATATATCAGTAGATATATGTATAAATATAATGCATAAAAATCATAACTTTGAAGAGCTACGATTTTAAAAATACGATTTTATTTAAAAAAAAATCTTAAAAAAATGTTACGTAATAATCACACGTGAGGAATTAATTGAATTAATTACAGTCCTCGGTGTGAGATCGCGTGTCATGTTTACTGTTAATACTACGCATTATCCGCTCGTATTTTATCTTTGACCGTTCTTGGCAGTGACGATTCCATGAGCTTTGTTTGTCGATTTATTTTCTATCGCGGACGGTACGTGTGTAGAAGAGAGAGAGCTGACGTCTGTCCCGCGCGTTATTTCTGCGTTCCGTATTTTCAAGAGTAGCAAATAAAAAATCGACAAGTAAATGATCGTTAAAAAATGTTTATTATAAAATTTGTAGTGGCGCCATTAGATATGCTAGATGAGCGCAAGGGTGTTGCTGCGCGGAGCCTGGGTAATTTAGTAAATGTAACATTAACGTATAGCCCTCATGGCGAACGCCAGATTGGGATCTCTAGTTCTAATAAAAAATTCTTTTTTCTTTCTCATCATATGGCTACTTTCTCGCAAAAATGTGCGAACATAATATTAAATAATCGCTTGCATCTGAAAACTTTTTATCCGACTGGTCCCACATTACGGTTCTTTAAAAAAAAAAAAGGAAAAAAAAAAGAGAAATTGCCTTTATACATTCTGTATGTACAGACATTTTTACACTTTAAAATTACAGTTATGTACAAGCGCGCTGTATAAAAAAAGTACGTCGTCGTCGTATAAAACATAACTATTTACAAATCCCTGGCTGGTGAAAAAGGTTTTACCTTTCAATTATTTACAATAGTCTGGCAATAAAAAAAAAAAAAAGGATGTGTACTTGGCCGCGTGTATATATTTAAATAGGAGATCGTGTGTAATGTCCCAGATATTTACTCCGCCTCGAGGAGCGATCCTGCACTGGGAGTGGCACCAGATCGCAGCGCCACGAGATGCGCCTTTCTTCGGGACGTCGTGGCGTCGACCTGCTGGTACACATAGTCGCCCTGTATCGGCGAATCCGAGACGGTCTTCTGGCGCTTCGCGCACGAGACGAACTCGTAGACCTGCACCTGGGGCTGCTTCTGCCTGGGAAAGTCGTTCAGCCGCGTGTCGAGCAAGTCGGCCGCGTCCATGAGATCGAGATCCTCGTAGAGTTGCTCGACGACGATGTCGTCGACGAGATCGAGCTGCTTGGCCTCGTCGTACGTGACGTTCTCGTCGTCGTTGACGATCTCGTCCACCACGGAGCCGCCCGTCTCGGAATCCGCGTAACTCTCCGTATCCTCATACGCCTCCTCGTGCCTCTCCCCCTCGTACTTCATCTCGCCTCGCTCGAGAAGCTCCAGTTGATCTGGATTCACCATCGCCCGCTTGATCGCGGTCGGATCCTTCCTTGACCACTTCCGCACCTCCTCGTCCATCTTGGCTACCTTCGATGGATGGATGGCCCAGAGGCAGCCCTTTCGCTGACTACCATTGCCGGGTGGTTTCTCGATCTTCTCGAAGCACTTGTTCAGCGACAGATTGTGCCTCACCGAGTTCTTCCAGCCAGTCGGCGCGGTCGTGAAGTAGGGAAAGTGCCGGCTGCGTGAACGAAAATAGGAAAATGGGAAATAAAATTTGCGCAAAATTTATTAGTATTGGGAATCGAGGAATTAAATATACCGGTCATAATTAATCTGGTCAATGATTAATAATTATATTTATGGAATTGACAGATCGATCGAGTTTAAATCGGACTTGATTGAATTTCTAATAATATTAAGGTCGAATTTTACAAAATTACATTTCTCCGTGAATAAAGAAATTTCCTTTTATTATTTAAAAAGTTTCGAACAGAATAATCTGTAAATCGACCGTGCTTCAATATTTTTGCTTGAGGTAAAAAAAAAAAAAAACCTGCAACGAAATGCGACTACGAAGTTACGAGGAACGACAGTTATTTTACGAGCATGGCCGTGAGTTGCAACGGCGAGAAACGAAGGCAGGTGGTAAACGAGGAGAGCGGGGTCTGCCGCGTCGATTTCTAGGGGGGACTGTACCCCGGCGTGCCCCTGGTTATTCCAAGAGCCCCATACAAAATGGCAGCTTCTCGCTTAGCTCCCTTTCCGTCCCGTAAAACCGGAGAATAAAGAGGGAAAAGACAATACTTTTGCCCCTCGTGTATTCTAAGGGAGGGGGAGCTTCACCAGTCCCTTTATCCTTCCGGCCAAATGGCCGAAAATAAACGAACGGGCGACACGTTATTCATCAAGCAAAAAGTTGTGCTTATTGTTTATCCCGAAAATATCACTCCTTACGACAGTATTTTATGATCCTTGTAAATTATAATAAATAACGTATTAATACGTAAATATAGTAAAAGATTTAACTTTAAAAGCTCTAGAAAAATTATTTATAAAAGTTATTTAAAAAAGCTATTCTCAGACAATAATGTTATTTTGAACATATTTATTTTACAAAATATGTTGTTTATCAAACATATTTGTTTTACAAAATAGAACGAATTCTCCTTTTATTGTATATAAATTTTGTGTATAATAAGAAAGTTGCAATTAGATTTTATGAAACGCACGATCAAAGTAATAGTCAATATCCGAAGGATTTTATTACGACAAATAAAGTGCATACTTAAAATGCATACTTGAAAAACATTTGAATCAAAGGACGAAACTTCTGGTTCTTGTATCTCTCGCAAATTACTTCGATTTAGCAATTTACGAGTGTTAATTAAATATCCGAGTTGTATAACAACAAGCTTCTCAGAGCACTCACCACATAAAGTTGTAGATCTCGGAGACCGGTAACGATCCCGTTCGGCTGTTTTTCAATGCCATCGCGATGAGACACGAATACGAATACGCGGGTTTCGGATAGGAGTTGTCACGACTCCCCGTCGTTATATCTTTCTCGCGCTTCGCCGCCTGTATCATCACCGTCGTCGTCGTCGCACCTGGACTGATGTCGTGCACATTGTTGTTGTAGGACATCTGTTTGCGAATGTGCTGCAACGTTTGACCACCGGGATTAGCTGCGAGCATCTTAATATCTTGAACTTTGACTGTGCCAGATACGGTGCTTATCTTGGGATGCATTTGCAACCTCGTCAGCTGTATTGTCGGCGAGGAGGCGGCATTGGTGGCGGTGGCGACGGCTAGCGTCCTGGCGCCGACGCTTACCGCCGACGACGACGACGACGACGACGATATCGACGTCGGCACCTCCACGCTCGAGGGTGTGAGCGGCTGTTGAATAGTCGCATCCTGCTCCTCGTCTTCCGTTTCCTCATCTTCCTCATCTTCCTCCTCATCCTCTTCCTCCTCCTCCTCTTCCGTTTCCTCTTCCTCCGTTTCGTACTCTGTCTCGTTGTGCTCATTCTCGATCTCCTCTTCTTCCTCGCTTTCCTCATCATTTTCGGTTCGGTCGACTTCACTTTCGTTCTCCGTCTCCTCCCTCTCGTTTTCCGCAACGTTCTCCTCCTCTATACACGTCATCTCCACCATCGCCGCGTCGCTATTCGCCGCTGGGCTGCGATTAGGCATGGACATGCTACGCGGTAATATCAAATTCGGATCCAACGTCAAAGCTAGTTCGCTATCGCTGTCCAGATTCAATTCCTCGAGGTTACTATGAAACAGAAAATGTTAAATATTCTATAAAACTAAAATCGCAAAAACCAAAAACCATAAACCGGGCTTCAAAGTTAAAAACAAAAGTTAAAAGAAACTTTGTTTTTTGACCTTTATGTTCCTTAATTTTTGTTATTAAAATCGTATATAAAGTTTCTGAATTTTCAAGTCTTGGAAAAATAATTCGAAATTCTATATCAATACTTTTCTTTCTGTAAATTTTGATTATTTTTATAATGTCTCTCTTAAAACAAAAAATTCCGGGAGACTCGTCTTACCTATTCGAACTGTGGCTCTTATCATTAAAACCGTTCAGATCTTCGTCGGTCTCGGTCAAGACGTCGTCGAAGTCGAAGCCGAGGCCTGGACCAAGCCAGCCAATTTGGCCGGTGTTATCGCAACGGCGAATGTCCATATGAAACATCTCTGGACGACCCTGAAAGGCGTCGGAGATGCTGTCGCTGCCAAACAGGCAGTCCCATGTTTCCCCAGACATTCCCTGCTCCATCCCGACAGTATTGTACGCATTTACGGTATCCAATTCCATTCACTCGACTGCAAGAAGAAGGATGATAGGATTTTTAGAGAACTATCATCGAATGGCCTGCCAAATTACGGTGGCGGTCGCCGCGAATTATCCTCCCGGAGTAGTTTCATTTTCGTAAAAGCGACACCGTCATCATAACGAGGCCCAGCGCGCGAGGTTCGCTCTATCGTGAAAGCGGAATTGTACTTTTATAGTCTCCATAAAATATCTAGTTCCCCGTAGCAATATCGTCGCGATATCGTCTAGGAGAAAACTTTTATATCACTTTACATTCATTTATATTTCATCGCGTCATCTATTTTTACATCATTCTACTATTCGTTTATATTTTATTACGTCATCCATCTGTCTGCGTTATAAATCAGGGATGCAGGCACTCGCCTATGGTTTTGCGTTACGGCGACTGCGGATAATCCTGAAAAATTCCCACCGCTTTCTCATTCTCCCGTCATCTGGACTCATCTATATCTCTCGGTGCCTATGCCTCGGTGCTGACGTGCTTTTTTTAGCCGGGGCGCATTTCGACGGATCGGCATACGTAACTCGTAGATCGATCATTTTCGCGGTGCCTCGTAAGGGCGCCTGGACCGACATCTACGGCACCGCGAGTTGCTCTGTCCGGAGAAATAATAGCTCGCGCGAGAGAACACGTGAGAGTTCCCGAGAGAGTCCCTCGTCGAATGAAAGCAGATCTGTTCCCTGAAATAGCTGGCGATCGAGACGGTTCAAGGATCAACCTTCCTTCGACCTGCTTCCGAGCCGTAAATCATCCGCGAACTTTCTTCATACTTTAATTGTATACAAAAACAATATGAGAAAAACCAGCAATATATAAATTATTATTACGTATGCATTTGTTCTCTGAGTCTATTTTCGCATTTCCTAATAAATTACGTATGGAAAAAAAATTTTGCAATATTTAAACGGTATTTAAAATCTTGCCAGATATTGAAAATAATTTTGAGTCATCAAAATATTTATATAAGACGTTGGTTGCGTAAGGAAATAAGTTTTGCGATAATATATTATCATGCTGAGGAACCTTATATAAATATTTTGATGGCTCAACAAAATTTTTTTTAGATCTGTATCTGTACCAAATTTTTAAAAATTCAATGATACTGCTTTTTCTGTGTACGCTTGGAAAATTCTCACGTTATCTTACGTTCTTATCAACGTCGTATATTATGAGTACACCGAATACGGGGATCGACGGCTTAGTGTCTCTCTACGCCAAGCAAGGACGATAGATTTTGTATATATGTGGGAATCTCATGTACGCACAATTACACGTGCATTCTTCTGTACGTGTATATGCGTGTGAGTGTAAGAGAGGGAGAGGGGAGAGAGAAAGAGAGAACGTACGAGGATCTTGAACCCATAACCGGCTTGTGGGTGTGACTAACTCATAGTACTACAGTCGGCTTACTATATGCACGGCCTCCGTAGTAGTTTCCTCTCACCCCTTCCCCCGAAGTTCGTCCACCGCTCTTTTTTTCCCCTTCCATCCTCTGTGTCTCTCTCTCTCTCCTTGATACTCTCTCATTAAAAATTAATAACGGACAATCGACGATATTTCCAACAGCGAAAATATCGCTGGAATAAGCGAATACGTGCGGGAAGGAATCCCGCTTAGCGAGGAGATAATATCGCTCGCGGGGGCGGCGATATTATGTGCGCGAATAATAAGAAAATTCGGCTCACGACGACGGCGAGAAAAAAAATCGTCAGGGTCACGTATGTGTATTTATTTCGCTTTGCACCCTTTTTTTTTTTCTTCTTTTTTTTCCCCGAGCGCATGATGTGGCGCAGCTGAAATGAACAGACCCCCTTTTCTCGTTCATGTACGCGTGTACACGCGAACGCCAACCGGCATCGATTCGAATATTCCACCACGTAGATTGTGCGTAGTCGCAACATCCGGATCTCGCCATGGACCAACCGTAGATACACGCAGCCGCGCCGTGCTTTTCGCCGAGTATCGATCTGATACGTTTCTACCCTCCCCGTTCCTCTGTTTCGCTCTCCCCCCTCCCCCGATCCCATTCCATCCACCCCTCTGACATCTACCCTCCCCATCCCCTCGTCGTATCCTTCCCCCCGGGCCGCTGCGGCCAGTATTTGCGAGCTGCAAGAGTGTGCACCCGCGCGCAGCGTGCACCAACGCCGCGCCACGGTTCGTCAGGGTGGCACCCTAAACCGACTCCCCTACTCCCCGTTCCCCACTTGGAGAATTCTCTCTCTGTCTCCGTCTCTCTCTCTCTCTCTCTCTCTCTCTTTCTCTCTCTTCATCCCTCGTGATTCTCCCGTGTAGACTGCTCGTTTACCCCTTAATACTGCTCGCTAGGGGCGAATTAATGCTTCTATCTTTGTAAATAGAAAAGCAGATATCGGATTTTGTGTTACTCGTCATTTTTAGCGAGTTTCGAAATATTGCTGCTTCGTCACGAAGAGTCTCGCTAATCGATCTTACATTTCATAAACCGGAAAAATTGACTAAATCGATACGAATAATCTTGACCGTATCGAGATTATAATCGAGATGAAAAAAATTCTACGTAGCGAAAAACATTGCGATTCGGTAAAAATCAATTTTTTCATCATTTAGAAAATTCTTCCCTCTGCTACACCAATTAAAAATATTTTTACTTCCGATTGAAAATTTTTAATTCCAATTAAATTTAGAGACGGCAAAAATCATTTATTTTCGTCACGGCACTTTCGACGGATTAATATTGATATGTGCCAATTAAAAAAAAAAAAAAAATGTTGAACAGAGCGATTGGTATACATACAATGACATGCTGCGCGCACGTCACGTCGAACGTATAACGCATGGCATCGTACGCACGTGGCCGCGCGGAATTGGCGCGAAAAAGTCCCGTCGTTGTCGACGTCGACGTCGCGACACGTCGTGTCGCGTGTCGTCGAGGCGACGATCGCACATGCCTCTCACGTCGAGTCTCACGCCGTACGGTGACTCACAGAACGTTCGGGAAATTGCGGGAAGTTCTCTGGAAATATTTTATCTCCGAGATGTATTCTCTTGGCGTGAAAAAATTTTCTTCCTCTCTCTCGTATTCCGTTACGTGTTTCGCGCGTGGTTACCGGGAGTGACAGATAATATCACGGGGTGTGTTTCGCTTAAGACCACGTCAGAATATCGATTGGCGCGCGAGAGATATATTTCTTCTTCTATCACGTCCGCGTTATCCGGAGCTCGGGCTGTGATTTAGAAAGGAAGCGGGCGAGCTCCAGATCGCTCCTTACGTATCGGCCCCTAATAACATACTTACCGCAGTTAAACGAGATTATCGTGGTGCCTTCGAGAACCGCAGAACCTCGCGCTCCTCAGACACGAGTCGCAAACACGGTCACCTAATCTCTCAAACAATAAATACGGGGATATCGAGATTAAGGGAGAGACCTCGTGCATTAACGATACTTTCCCCAACTCTATTACGAAAGACCGTGTAATCGCGCACCTCAAGTGGACTTCTCAGCTTAAACTCGTCGATCTCACGGTGTGTTTACTAATCCCGTCTTCTACTAATTCGATTGGGATTTCCAGCCTCGGAACTTTTTTGCTTTCACCGGTCGGACGGATGAGCCAATCGACGGGGGCCGCGACGAAGATCTTGCAAAATTTCGCACGTCTGTACCGCGTATACACGCGATCTACAATGAAACGACCCTCCTTTTTCTCAATATGTACTGTTTACAAGGTAGAAATTACTATGATTTCACCGCGCGTCAAACGAACAAAACGATACGGAGTAAGATCGGCCGATCGTAACTACTAATAACTCGTAACTACTAATAACTCGTATCGATAAAATTGCGAAACTCCGTATTCGTGAGGAATTCTTATGTTATTCTTCTCGTTTTTTTACGTGTACAGAATTACGCAATGTTCGCGCGTGAAAACGGGTCGCGCCTCGTAAACTCGGGAGGGAGGGAGGGAGAGAGGGAGGGGGCGCGTTTTAGCGTAAGAAACGCAGCTCCGAACAGAGGCGGGAATCAGGCGATCGCGTCAGGAGTTTCCGCGGCTCGCTTCGCTTCGATATTATCTAAGCGCCGCGAAAGTGGCCGGCGAGTGTTTCCATTTCGCTCTCGCGTCATCGCTAAAACGAAAGACCGACGGGGATCCAACGGCGAAACAACGAAAGCACGAAAGCACAATGGCGCGTTAACCGCGCGCGATCCCCGCGCCGCGCCACGCCGTGCCAAGCCGAGCCGAGCCGAGCCGAGCCAAGTCGTTACGCGCGCGAGAGGCTACGGTTAACGACGCGAAAATTGCCGATTGTTTCGCAAATTCGTTTCGCGATGAAAGAGAGCCGCGGAGGCCCCGCATCGAAATGCACTCTTCTAAAACACATTTCGCCGCGGCTAATCCAGCGACCCGCGTCTCTCTTCCCCCCCCCCTCTCCTTCTCCCGCCGCGCACGACCGAGCTTTCTATTTTATATTATTACCTGCAACACATCGAGAATAGGTACTTTATGTGTATAAAACAAAGCGAATAATTAAATGAAGCATGTATTTAAAAGTGAATGTTATTTATCGAGTACCTACTTAAAAGAGTAGACGGGACGTCAGAATTAAAATTAGACATATGCAATTTTCATCGCGTTCGTCGTATGCAATTTTCAGGAGAGCTAAAATTACGAGAAGAAAATCTCGTTTCTTCGTAAGTGGAAAATCGTTTGCAGTATCGAGATTAATTTCCGTCAATTCAACAAGATTAATAGGATATCTATTCAAGCCTGAAAGAAAATTTCTTGAAAATTCTTCGATTTTCAAGGCAATTTGTTGTTCAAAACTTCCAGATAAATTGAAAGCATTTTTAAATGTATCTTATAAATAAATATGTTTTTGTAAACAATCTTTAATATTTTCTATCCATAAAAATTTATAAAATAAAATTAAGAATCACTCTAGTTTCAGCAATCATTTGAAAAATTTTAAAAAGAACTATAGGAAAACTCTAAAAAATATTTAAAACTATTAGAATATAAAATTATTAAAAGAAATATTCATTTTCGTTTTTGAACAAAATTGCAACAAAAATCGTCTTTAAAACTGAATATTGGATTAATCGTAAAGTCAGTGTGCTCTGAATTTAGAATAGATGGATCTATTGTTGCTAACAATTCAATCGATAAACTCTCGATTAATAAAAACAAAATATTAAAGAGCAGAGCTTCCTAAAAAAAATTTTCTGATTTTTAATGAAATTTTCCGAGAGAATTTTCCGATTTTTCAAGGCACATAAACAAATTTCTTGAAAATTCCAGATTTTCCAGACTTTTCCAAATAATAGATATCCAATGATTAATTTTTTAATGAAACAGAAGCAGAAAACTACGAAAAACTACACGATGCAAATAAAATCATGCGTATTTCACTGTTAAAATATTCTCCTCCGGAAGCAAAACGCATAACTGTATCGCGTCACGCATTCGTAGAGATTATCGTAAAGTTATCATTGTACACCACTCGAGATCTTAATTACGTAACGCTGAATCGTTGCGAACGAAAATCTTTGAAGAACAGCACGATCGTACGATAAAAACTATTCTAAGCAGTGTTCACGTTGTAAATCTCGCTTCCATGGAATCGAGAAGGAAACGTTTACTTCGGCGCAGAAAATAATTTCCTCTTCTTTACCGCGAGCATCTCGCGAACAATAAAATAAAAAAATAAGAAAAAAAAAAAATACAGACTTCCGTCAAAAGAGAGGGAGAAAAAAGAGAGAAAAAGGGCTGTTTCGTCATGCTTCTGTCCCCATGTTTCTTCGTTCCTTTCTGCTTTCGTTTCTTTATCCTGGTCGCGTTCTTTCTCTTGGTCTCGCAGAAATAATCGTCCGAGAACACGAGAGAAGCGATGATACAAGCCAAAGATGAGACACGTGGCGCGGAGGGACGAAGAGAAGAGAATGTGAATTTCGGTCATACCTGTGCAGGACTGTGAACGTTTCCTGCGGCTGGCATATGGCGAAGTGAAGCCAGAAGGGATTCGGGGGTACGGGGTTTCCCGGAAGGTTCTCACGGTCAATAGCTTTCCCGGTGGCACGCGGCTGAAAAGTGCTCGGAGGGGCTGCCCTTGTCTCCCCTAGTTTACCTTCCCCCCCCCACCACTCATCGTCCTTTTCCGTCCTTCCCTGCGGGGCACATTCGTATTTTGTTGCTCTCTTCCCTTGTTCCCTTTTACATTTAGAAAATTCAGAATTATTTTGTAAAGGAATTATTTTGTTCTTTATCCCAGCAAATGATTAATGGAACTTACAAGAATAAATCACAAGGTTATTTAGAGAAAGCGAACAAAACAAAAGTAAAAAAACAAAAAAAAAAAAAAGAAAAAAGAAAGAAAAAAAATATATAAATAGGGACAGAAGAGTAAATGGCGGGGAAGACGAAAGGACGGATTTTATCTCGGCGACGTTATTCCGGCGGCCAATTAACGTTCGCGATCCGCGCGAAATTACTATTCGTGGCCATCAATGGAAATCGATACCGTTGGCGGTTTCGGCGACGAGGACTAACGACGCCGCCATCGTCGCCGCCGCTGCCGACTCCGGATAATAATTACGCGGGAAACATCACGATATCCACATATATACATTCGATGCATCCGCGAAAGGGAGGCGAAGGGAGCCTCGAAACAAACCGGAAATCGGAAAACTCGGGCGCCGAGGAGAGCAGCGTGACGGATAATCTCGGACGATTTCGTCACATCCGATTTCATGGAAAAATTTCTTTCCCGCGAGGATTCTTCGTCTCGAAATTTTCCCAATGTCAACACAAATACTCGGAGTTTTTCCTCGGAAAATTTTTCGGTTTTCCGACCAGGAAATTTCGAGGTATTTCCAGATGATACGTCGGAAGGATGTTCGGCATTTTTACGAAACATCCGCTTGCATTTTTTTGTCCCTTTCCCTTTTCTACCTTCATCTCTCTCCTCTTCTTCTCACTCTCACACTCTCACTCCCTTTCTCTCTGTTTTCCTCACTCGCCCTCACGCGCGTATTTGCATATTACCTCTCGGTTACGCTATACTTACTTTTCATTGTCTGTAACTTTACTGGACTTACAGGCTAGTGTGCAGTGTGTGTATCCATTTACCCATCTCTGCCGGGACGCTCAAGGGAACTCTGTGTCACGGAGTGCATAACGCTTTCTTTCTCCCTCGTCCCTCTCTTTTACCCGCACACCACCATGCGTTCTCGCACACGCACACGCACACGTACACACACACACACACACACACACACACACACCACCTACACACATGCATACATATATACGTACGCACACATGGCTACGCATTCACGCGTCGCGTACACATCTTACGATGCCGTTTTCTGTTGCGTATGCATTCTCCGTACATACGGCGCCCATCGATACGCGGGTATATTTGCTCTGCTTTCATGTTTATTTTATTTTTTATTTTTTAGTATCTCTAAGCTTAATAATAAACATTTTCTCGTTCTCTCTCATATCGTACACTCTCTTCCCGCCGAAATTCACGGAGCTGTGCTCTCGCTCTGGTGAGCGATTTTGACACCTAAGGCGGAAGAGGCGGCCGGATTGTTTACGCCTCTCGGCGGCGATGTCGCGGGCGCGATCGCGATCGGCGACCGCGAAATTCAGCGCCGTTGCGGAAATCGTGAGAATAATCGACCGGGAATATACCGGCGACATGCGCGAGATAGTACAGCAACAGCGAGACGAACGTTGCGATCGCGGATTATAAATTTTTTTTTCTCTCTTCTCGGAAGATCCGCGAGTGTTCACCCGCGGAGTCACAGTCCGCCGAAATGAGAGAACGGCGAGACGGGAAGAGAAGAAAAAAAACGCAGAAAATTCGTTGTTGTCGATCCTCACTCTGCATCGTGTCTCGCTCCGATATATATCTCTCATTCTTGACAGATGGAGAGATGGAGAGCGCGCGCGCGTCGGCGAGAGACGGGACAAGAGGAGACGTGACGGAACGAGCCGAGACGAGAGAGACGAAACGGGTAACAACACACTTTTTTTCGCGGGCGTATATTTACGCGGCGCGTAATATAATGGCGCCAGACCTACCGTATATCGATACTGCGCGTCCGACGTTCCCCGAATCACCCTGTCCCGCGCGCGTCGGCCAGCACTTTCACACATATATTTACGATGCGAGTCGCACGAATTTTCGGCGCAGCGCTACCATGTATAAACGAACACCGACACGGGTCCCCCTTGACGGAACTGAGGCAACGTTGGTTGACACGAGCTGGCCCGTGAACAAAGACCACAAGATTTCAAATCCCGCCGCGCCGATTGGCCGGCCGCGGTCACGTGGCCGCGGCGGCCCGCGTCCTATTGGCCGGCCGCCACGGGGGTGCGAGGACGTTTTGAACGATGCGCCACAATGCACATGGCTGACAAAGGCGGACTCTTCCCGCGGGGGAGTCTCGACCAGGGATCGACGATCCCAATGGCGCGGACGATCCGCGATCCTCGCGCGATCGGAGCGAGATCGACGGCACGGCCTTCGTCGTCGGCGCGATTCGCCAACTCTCGGCGCACTCAACACTTTACTCCCTAACCTTCCCCACTCGAAAAATGGCCGAACCCAAAACAACACCGCGCGCGCGGAAACACACTCGTTGATAACGGCGCGTAATCACGGCCGCGTCCCAGTCCGACGCGCGGACCCGCGCGATTTTTCCGCCTCCGTCACGTCGCGAGGCGCGCCAGCGCCGAGTCGCTCGCGAGTCCTGTCGCAAAACACGGTGAATAATCGCCCGCCTCGTCCCATGAACGAGATTGAAAACGACGGGCGAGTCCATTACGGCCACTACGGAGGGGAGTCAGGCAGGCTCCCCGGTTAAGAATGAAACACACTACGCGCCGCCGATAATGGCGGGAAGATACGATACGTACACACGCGCGTACGCACGCATGCCGCACGCACGCGGCACATGGGGATCTTTTATTGACCTCCGAGCAGGCGAATACACACCGCGCACTTGATCACCCCGCGATCTTCTCGCTCTCTCCTCTTCGATCCCCGGAATTTCGGCCGAATTTCACGCGAAACGTCCGATCGCTCCTTTTTCTCCCCGACGTTATTTTCTTTCGACGTACAAATACTTAGCTCTTACCTCCAAAATCACAGTCTCTTATATGCGAATCTATTTCTCATATGTATATATATTTCCCTGTACTTTATTCGTGACATTTTTGTCAGACCTGAATACATCTCTGCGATACTTGATTAAAATTACAAAACATTTCATCGTTTCTCAGTCTATTTCTTGATTCAATGAAAATAACAGATTGTAGCCTCATTTCCCTCGATGTTTCAATCTTGACTCTCCGTGATAAATGCACGCGCTTGTGTACGTGAGTTATCAGTCTTATCACTAGCTTATTATCAGCTTTATAAAATATATTCTCTATAACATTCATATATTATATATTTTATGCAAGTTTCATTTTAAATTATTTCAAAGAATTCCTAATTTAAGAAATGTAATAACTTTGGTCTTATTAAACATTATGGCACTATCGTTGTCTTGCGCTCTTCACTGGTAAATGCAGGTAAAAACGTTGACTTTTTTCCCTTTAATTAATTAGCCACAAATCCGTATTCATTTTCTCTTTTTTCACGCATCTACAGTCTTTAGTTTATTTTGTGATGTTCAGTATTTCTTTGCATTCATCGTTGTTAAACTTGAATTTTTCTTGCTCGTTTCTTCACAGATTCTTCGTTTTATTTTTCTTACTTTATATCGTTTCTTAAAAATATATTCTTCCAAGTAAATTCCATCCAACAGTAATAAACACTTGAAATCTTATAACATGAATATATAAATATAATATAGAATATATATTGACTTGTATTATTGCACATTAAATGCGATCTTTGAGCTCAAGGAATCTTGAAGCTCATTACTGATAAAGCTCCATTATTGATAAAATGGTCAGGTGAGTGCTATTAGCAGCTCTAAATACCCAACTATGGCACTTTTAATGTTTCACATATAATATAACACATGCTCAATATGGCACTTAAATATTTGCAATAGCTGGTATTATTTTCATATATATCTCTATTCCTTTCAGAAATATGTCTTTGTTGAGATATTCGTCGTTAGCGTGAAGAAGTATCGTTGTCTTATTCATTGGTGAGAAGCAAAAAGCGGGAATGCCCACCTGAGAAGAAAACATATATAAAGTTATACTTTATTGTGAAATATATAAAAATTATATATTAAAAAGCATAACGTGTGCATAACATTATTATTATCTCTCATACTTAATGAGATATTATATAATCTAATTTATTAACAATGCTATTCTCCTAGTTTTACAAAAACCAACATTGAAACATTTAATGATATAAAAAAATCTGCTGCTTTTAAAAAATATATAATATATAAAATATTTATAGAAATATTCAATAAAACTTTGTGAAATTAGTTTCACGAAGAAATTAGTTTCTTCAAATGAAGTAAATTTTTGAAGCAGATATAAAATAAAAATATGCAAGATGCATAAATTTCACAAATAAATTTTGCGATTTGAATAGTTTTATAATAATAAAGTAATAAAGTAAAAATAATAAAATAATGATAATACCGTTTTCTCTAAAATGCATGTTTAAAATTTAAACATTAAATTTTCGCATAGACTGATTCAATGCTTACCCCTCGCACATAACGGCTATCAGTGCCTCCCGGGAAGACAGCAGTTTCAAATTCGAGACCCATCTCATCGCAGCTGTTTTTGAAAGCAATCCAGTAAGGATTGGAATCGTCAAGCTTGGTATTCTCAACTTTAGGATTTTTTTCTTCGAAAGAATAAGTTACATCTGGGCCAGCTTCTTCGCACCAACGTTTAATAGTAGCCTCAAATTCTTCGTGATCAACAGAAGGTGCTAAACGTATATCGAACATAGCGTAGAGGTCAGTAGGTACAACGTTAGTTTGTACCCCACCCTGTAAATGGATTTAATAATTTAGAATTAATAAATATAACAGGGCTAAATGAAAAACATAAAATTTCATAGAAAATGCAAAATGATGAAACAGATCTTAACTAATTACAAAATAAAGTAGGAAAATGGGATATTATTATCAACTCTTATCATAAGATATTCAAAATATTATCAGGACACTAAAATACTTACTGTGAAATATGAAAATCCCAATGGAACAGACATATAAAGTAAACAAGTATTATGTAACGTTTGAAAACTAAAGTTAATTGATTTGTATTTTCTTCATTATACGTAAATTCAGTACAGAATCTTATTTATTTGATTTCTGTAGATGAATTTAATACAAAAGAGTAAATGGAAAAAAGATGAAAGTCAATAAACTCAATGTAATCGCATTCGCGATTTTATTGCATTTGTCGATAAAAAATTATTAATGATGCTTCACATAAATACCTACCCAAATTTTCGTAAGGTTCACGGATGTCACATTGCCGAGCATGGTTACCCATTTCGTTATTTCATTTTTTAAATCAGGAAGTTTCGCTTTCTCGGAGGCTCGGAAGTCCATGAAACGATCGATTATAACTCTCAATTTTTCTCCAGCCGTATTATCCAGCATAATTGATCCGTGGCCGGGAGTGCCCGAGCATCTTATTTCTACATGCCAAATCGACCTTTCTCCATAGAACACATACATTTTGTCTGACGGACCAGCCACACCTTCGTCTAGAGCAAAACCGACGTTCAGGGCTTTGAAATCTGCAGTGTGCACGAACTCTTTCATTCCAAGGACACCGCCAATCTCCTCGTCAGGGACAAAGGACATGTGAATAGTGCGTTGCAAGCGGTCCCCGTTCAGCTTCAATCTGCGAATCGCCTCCAGATATTGTATTGCCACACACTTCATGTCCTGAGCGCCACGAGCATAGATGTTGCCCTCCTCGTCCATGTGTGCGCTGAATGGTGGATAGGTCCATTTGTCCTAAATCAAATAAACAATTAATATAGAAATCAACAAAGCAATCATGTACAAAAAATATCACTACATATGTTTGAAATATTTTTGTCGATAAGATATACTTACCTCGATTACGGGTACAACATCCATATGACTGTTCAAGAGGATCGATGGTTTTGTCGGTTGCGTTCCTTCCCATGTTATAACTACAATCGGTTTCTTGGGATACACATGGTAGACTTTTATCGGCAAGCCCAGGGATTCTGCCTGTCTGGTTAAGAATGCCACGCAATCATCTGAAATAAAAAAATCAAAAAATCAAAATATATTTACATAAGTATTTTTTTTTATTTAATTGAATTAATTAATTTTTTACAGAATTGGGATTTAACGAATTATTTATATCAATTAATTGTAAAATATATAATTTATCATTAAATTTTCAAATTAATTCCCACAATAATTCTATCAAAGTTCTATTCCATTCTGTTTATAAAAAGAAACTTTAAAGCGTTGTTGAATAGAAAATATTTGAATCCTTTTAAACCTCTTCTTAATGTTCTTATCTATTATCAAATAATAAAAGTGACATAACATAAGTGATATTATATAATATAGTCCATAGTACAAATATTAATTTCTCTAAAGATATCGTATCAACGATCATATGATGATAAGAGACGAGATACTCGCTTGCACAAGACCGGTAATTGGCTCTATTATCAATTACAGCCCCTTATCTATCACCATTTGGAGATCAGGAGATCTATTATTTTCAACCAGCTGTTATCAAGAAATATTACCAGCATCGCCATAAATACATCATAATTACACCGGAATTACGCAGCTATCGCACAGAGGAAAGAAACGCAAATCCCGATTACATAACCGCCCTCCGCTCCTTTGCCGATCGTCGACTTGCGATTCGGCGTTGCTGCCGTCGAATCGTAGCAGGAGATGCTTCGAAAATCGCGTCACAGAATCGCGAGAAGTGCCGGGGCCGAGATCTGGGTCACGCCGCGACGTCCATCGTCGTCGTAACCCGATCGGCGAAAGGACGCCCGGAACCGGTCCCGGAGACATCGCGGAACGATCCGGCGAGGTCGACGTGGTGCCGCGGTCGGACGTAGGGGAATAAAAATAGAAACAACATCGCGCGCGCAGGGTGGGGCATGCAATGGCTGGATAGCGTCACCGACGCTATCCCCAATTCGTCGCCTCGCGAGCGTCCTCGCCTCGCCGGCGTCGCGTCGCGTCACCTCGCATCATCCCGCGTCGGCTGATTTCACGGACGATCGAGCACCGTGATTATCGTCGTCGATCCACGAGTCCACGTCGAATCGCATGACGGAGAGACGCGTCGTCGAACGCGTGGCCTCTCGCGGCCGGTCGGCGTGAGTCCTCGCTCTTTTGTTCGCATTTCTTTTCTTCTCTCTCTCTCTCTCTCTCTCTTTCGCAAGTCTCGCGCTTTCTCCTCTCCATCCGGTTTCCTTCTGACCCTTTATTTCGGTCGAACGCGACACGATACGCGCCGCGAACTATCCGCTTTCGCTACCGGACGCTTTCAGACGCGCGTCACCGATCTCTCCTCTCATTCTCTCTCTCTCTCTCTCTCTCCCGCTCTCCCCCTCGCTCTCGCGACCGCTCTCGCGTTTAATACATTTTCCGAAATTCCACGGAGTCTCGAACCTTTCCCATGTCCCTTTCGCGATTGCTCACCGTAGTTGACGTCCGGTTGCACCGATGGTATCCGCAAGTACTCGCGGAAGTTCTCCACAGCTGTTTCGTTCAGCTCGGCCAGAGACATCTCTTCGTGGTGGTCCGTCCGTTTGTGCGCCTCGCTCCTCAATGACTTACCGTGCCTACCTGTCGCCCGGACGCCTTCTTCCTTTCCCCGAAAGCTTCGGGCTGACGCTCCGTTCGCGATAAAATTGCGCGCGCCACCGCAACGTTACCGCACCGGATCGACTGTCACAGCAGACGGCGGACGGCGGCGTCCCAAGGCGAGATTCCGGAGTGCCGCCGCGGCCGGAATGCCGCGCGACCACACCGCGGCTCCGGCTCGCCCAATTGCCGCCGGTTACCGGCGCTGACGTCACGGCGGCTCGCTCGAATCGAGTGGCGCGGTTAGTAACAGGCTCCCATACATGCGCGGGACTCACGTCCGTCGCGCCGCGCCACGCCAGCCCGGCGTTTGAAATCCCGATGCGTGGCAACACGACGCCACGCGCAGCAGAAAATCAGCCGCTGCTCCCTTGCGCTCCATCACAGGCCTCCTCTCGTTCTCTTTTGTTTTTTTTTTCTATTCGCTATATACGGCTTCACGATTTCTTTGGATCAAATATTATCCGGATACTCACTTAGCTAGATAAAAAATAAATATGATAATTTAAATTTGGATTTTATTTGCGGATTCGACTTTTTTTTTAAGATATTCGAAATTAGAAGCCAAATGCGATCGGCAGATTCGAAGATGAATTTTCCTAGCCGCATTCGAATTGAAATTTTTCTGAATCTAGTTTTGATAACTAAGTATGAGAATGAATAGATTTTACAAAGATAAAAGAATTAATTTTACGTTCTCCCTTTTTTCCGTTTCGACTGAGGATTTTTTGAAAGATTGGAAGCGTACAAAAACGAGAAAATGAATCTCGATCATGATTATATATTTCAAAAAGACCTTGTTCTTCTTGCAATTGCAATCCCAAAAATATAGCCAGATTTTAGGTGGAATTGATAACTTGGATTTCGTTTTTAATTAAGAATTCTTTAGAAAAAAAATGCAATGTCATGTTTAATGTTACAAACAGAAGTATGTTCCGATAAGAAATTGTATGTAGAAAGATAATAAAATTTGCCGAGAAAGAATGAACTTAACAAATTACAATCTAACAAGGTTATCTAACAAGAAATAAAACAAAAAAAGATCTTATCACATTCAGATAAGCAAGTAACATGGCCGCACATGATAAGGTCCACTCTCATGCTTGTTTTTGAAGAAATGAAATAAACAGATAAATTTTTATCTATGAGAGTAAAATATAACAACGTTTATCAATTGTATGTCAGTTAGTAGTTGCAAGTTTCGTTTTTAATTAGATATCTTCCACTTCTTTGAGACAATATATATATATATATATATAAATGGGAAAAAAACCCATGGAAATTCTGCCACGGCGGATAATACAGGGGCCACTAGTCACAATAGTTTATTTTCGTAAATGTATTCCGATTTATTAAATTTTCATGTATGCCTAAATATGAGCTCTTTACACATTATACGCCATAATAATATATATCGTGTGGAGTTTGATATCGAAGAACTTGTTACATTTATTATAATCGGTAATATGGATTAAATTATCATACAATGTAATAGGTAATAATGTAACATGGCTAATAACTAGGCACATACATGTAACAGTGAATTGCAAATAAAAAAATTATGTGTATTTCTCAGCCTATTATATAAAGATTGAATATATATATGCGAATATAATATAATATTAATATATTATAATATAATATAATAACTGCTATGCGCTCTGCTTTTTATTTACAACATTGAAACGATTATCCTAACGAGTTGTTTTATACTATCAGATGCTTTAATAACAAAGTCGTGTGCGGCCTCTGCTTCTTTATATCAGGATGTCTTATTATATATAGATGTATTA